AATAATCCGGTTTTTTATATAGCGCTCAATACACCGATCCAACGAAATGTACCTAAGCGCTTTACAGATATATTATTATCCCGGTCATCGGATTCAGGCTTACCCGCACACAATGTGTGCACATTTTCCACTCCCTGGGGAGCATTCCAGCCAGTCGCCATTTTACAGGCGCACACTTGCTCGTTCAACCACATGAACGTTCGCATCCTACCGGGTACCCATTTAACACCTGGGTGGAGAGTAGCAAGTGCAGGTAAATATCTTGCCAAAGGATATTAGTGCCGTGTCGGGATTCGAACCCTCGACCTTCGCATCTACAGTCAAGCGCCTTAAACCACTCGACCACGACACTCCCGCTAATAAATGAATGAAGAAAAAAAATAAACAAATTAGATTAATAAACAAACAAATAACTAAGAAACTACCTCAGTCAGAAAGTATCTAACTAACTTATTGACTAAATAACTAACTATTAAGGATCGACTAACTAGCCAACTAACTAACTATTGGAATAGATACATGAATAAATAAACAAATAAATATTTCAATAACTAATAAAATAAAATAATAAATAAATACATATATTGATAAAAAATAACGTTCTTGACATGAAACAACGACTGGCAAATGGGAAATTCGTTACCTCAGTTGAAGCACGTAGAGATAGATGTCCTGGGTGTTGCCTCTGCTTTCTGAGCTGGACTCAAGTTCATTTTTTAAGTTCAAGTTCATTTTATTTCCATTTCTCGTATAAAAATACATTTAACAATACATTATACATATAAGCAAATATATAAATATAAATAATACAAAGAATATGGAGGAGCCAGCAGAGGCCATTGGCCTTTCAAAGGCTGGGCTCCAGTGTCCTCAGATTATAATACAAAGTACAGAGAAGAAAAAAACAATGGGTAGTAAATATAAACAAATGAGTACAGGCTAATTAAATTAAACATACGATAGGAATTCTTCATTAAATAGTTCTTGTATTTACGTTTATCTCGCTGGAAGTTGCCCTTTTGTTGGGTGACACTTGGAGAAGTATATCCAATTTCCTCAAGTCCGGCACTCGAGAGTATCAGTAGGTGAGAGAGACGTGTGGTGAATACGTAATTGTAGTATAGTCCTTCTGAATCAGGTCGATTGTCTACAGATTGGGAAGAGAGAGAGAGAGAGAGAGAGAGAGTGAAGATTACAGAGGTATAGGGGAGTTAAAGGTTGAAAAGGGTGAGTGAGGGAGAGAGTGATAGATGTAGAGAGAGAGAGAGAGAGAGAGAGAGGGTAGAGAGAGATAGAGAGATAGAGAGATTATAAATAATGATTAAAGTGGGAAATCATAATTAAAGTGGGAATATAATATATATAGAGAGAGAGAGAGAGAGATAGAGAGGGAGGGATAGAGAGAGAGAGAGAGAGAGAGAGAGAGAGAGAGAGAGAGAGAGAGAGGTGAGAGAGGATAGACAGACATATATGTAGAAAGAGACAGAGAAAAAAAGAATGAGGGAGAGATTTTAAATTTGTGATATCGTATCCATTTGCATCCATACGTATCCAATGTATTGAAGCCTCTCATCAACAGTCGAGAGATCTGAGCATTTTATAGACATATTTACACGATTCAACCACTTTCATGATCAATTGAAGATTGCAAGTGAAAGTAGTGCTTTTAGTGGAGAAAACACCGTTTCTGAAGAGCTGATCTGGAGCTCTAATCTCCAGCAAAATGCCGCCGCATCGTCGGCATGGAGTTTGAATAAAAGATGACTACACGTTTACGCGGGAAAAAAGGCGCCAAAGTCCCTAGGTAATAGCACATTTAGATTCACATCAGTGAAGATGGAAAATCAAACGTCCAATGTGTAAAAAATGAATGAGATAAAAAGGGGTGAGAGTTATCAGAATTATCAATTAGAAAAAGCCCACCTGCCCACTGGGAAAAAATGTAAATTGAATAGATAAAACGTGAAAAGGGGCAATGAAAAATTAGTATCATACTTAATAACGTTCACGATATTGTGGATTTGCTGGGATTAACAAATTTACGAAATAAGAGAGAAATACGTTGAAGCTTATGTTAATAATTTCTTGACTTTAAAAGTATCAATCTCTCCCCTATATTAATACGTCGGGTAATACGTCACATAAACGTTTACTCAGGCTATAACCAATGTAATATTCAGTAAGACTGTCAGCAGCTCAGCTCAGTGTATAAATAGTGGCGATTCCAAACTCGACAGTATACACCAATACATTATGTGAGAAAAATAAACCTTTTCCAAGTTTTCCAGGCCGTTTCTCACACGATGTAATTGCTTGAACAGAGCTAAAAGTTTCCTGTTTTAAAACTACCAGCTGCTCCCAACACGTACAAGATTCTTTCCGTATCGAAGGGTGAAACCGCTCATCTTCCCGTCGTGTAACCTCCGTCCAGAAATGTATTATTGTTGATTGAAAGAATCCTGAGGCTTCGGAATAATCATATTAAGTCCGTCAAGCCACTTTTCAATTTCATTAAAGGCATCGTTTAACAATGTTAAATCTGAGATTCACGGCTCTATGTGTTATCAGTGTCTGTGATACGGTGTAATATTGAAGCCCTAACAAAATTGCGCTTCAAAATGGCCAAGAAGTGCCTCAAAAAAAGTAAAAATCTTTGAGTGACCGGTTTTACCATACTCGTTTCCCCCATAGACTGTAGTGTTATGAAAACCGTTAGGAAAATTTGATTTCGATTTCCAATCATAAATATCTTGATAATCAGACAGGCGATCAGCTTGTTAAAGTCACGGGGTTCCTGATTGACCTGAAGGTTTATAATTACCATTGCAGCATGATCTAGCTAAGTCCAGGATTTTGTTTCAGAATCTGAGGCAAAGTTACACAATCCCTTTATTACGGAGGACGCGTGAAGGTAAGAAAGTGCTCTGTGATCTTTAATGCAAATTATATTTTCACATTCCCTTAGTTTTTGGAAATCAAATAGCAGTATCTTCTTGCCAGTTGAAATAGTACAGCTAATAATATATCTACCCGAAATTACGCCCTTATAAACAATGAAAAGTTTCATACCTGAAATATATATTTTAATGTATGATTTTACTTGATGCAAGGAGCTGTGTATTTCTTTCTGATTGTATGTAACAATGCGAAATCCAGCCCGAGGCAGTGATGCATCGTGTGCTAAAAAAAAAATTATTCAATTGTATTAAATTACAAGAAAAAGGTTCTTGTCATACACGCTCTTTACATGATTACATGATGTACATGTGAAAGGAATACGGTATTTTCTTTCAATTAATCCGTTACTGGTAGGAATGAAATCCTTGACGCTAGAGCGCCGTAATGGTATCCATGCTTAAAGCCGGGGTAATAATTGCAAAGCGCCAGGAGTGTCAAGTCTGACAGGCATGAGTGCTATGCAAGAACCCACTATGTTAATTATTATTATCACTCATATTCCGCTACTGTACATTGAGTAACTGAGAACCAATTTTTTAACGAATGTCTGAAGAATTATAGTCGAAAATTCCTGATATGAAATTCTTGGCGATGTCAACACGTAATTTGAATGTCATTGCACTATTGATCTGTGGCTACTGGTGAAGACACACACCTAGGCCCCGACGTTGCATAAAACTTACCATTGATGGTAACTTTGCCATCAATGGCACGTACCATAGTAACAGGGCTCAACAGCCAATCAAAATTAAGGGTTCCATGGTAGTTATACCATTGATGGCAAATTTACCAACAATGGTAAGTTTTGTGCAACGGGGTCCTGATTTTTTTTAAATACTGTTACGGCCCTCCATCTTAGAACGGGTCCTGGATGCTGGAGGGCTGGCCTGTCCCTTGCCTCTATCACCGTCATCTGACGAAGAATTTGCCATCTTGAATAATGCGAGCGGTTTCTATTTGGCTTGTAGTTTAGAGGCCCGGACGTAGCTCCGTTTTCCCAAAGTATATGGGTGTGGAGATGAGAGGTGTTTTGGATAGGTGGATGTGTATTCCCTATGAGAGGGTTATATTACGTCAGTCTATGGAGACTCAACTAATCGCACGTTATGAAACGATGGATTGTTTAACTGTATACTTTAATAATACAAACATAAGTCAACATCTCCAACATGTTATCATAGTTAACACCGACACCGATTACCTGGATTAATCTCAACAAGTAGTAAAGGCAGAGATTGCCTTTTGTAGGAACTCTATTTCTCGCTTCCAATCCTTTTTCCTTACTTTAGCTCAGCTGGAGCAAAGCGGAGAGTTCGCTATCTGACCAAGACGAGAGCCAGCGTCAAGGTGACGAAATTACCGTTAAATACTGGTATTTATAGCCTCTGAGACGCTCTGAGAGCTGTTTTACGCATGGTGCGTCCGTAATCGCGCTCTGAGCCCTTACGCCCCAAAAGCTTACTGCGCCCGCTACGTTTTCTGCAAGATAACTTAAATTGTGGCGAACTGGTTCGTTACACAGCCCCCTTCTTCAAGGAATGTGTCCTCACATTGTCACCCTCAGATTAATACGAGGGGTTTCCAAAAATATTTACAATTACTAAAACGTATTAAATTTTGCATCGCTGTACTATTCATACTGAGAGTTACGTCCTCGTTAAGACCAATTTTGATATGCATATAACAATCAAGCTCTCTATATCTTTCTATGAAGTTCTCATATAAAAACATGTTCATTCTATGGACGTTAACTCTGAATATGACCATTACAGCGAGTGCTTTCTATGCCAATTATTTTCATGAATATTTGTGCATTATGACACATCCTTGAATTTTCCAAAAAGATAATGGTGTGGTGTTCTACAAACAAATGAATAGCTTACACTACGACATAAAAATGATTTTAAAAAGTAGATACATGTATGAATATAAACAATGAGGATGCCTCTTTTTGTTTCCTCCTGAAAGCTGTTGCTTTATTAAAAGTTCATCTTTGTTTTTACAGTTAGTTCGTTTACTGTCCTTCTAGGCATCCATTGGCTCATTGTTCTTTCTCTTTTCTTTTCTGGCAATACGAGTGTATACTGTTCCATCTGGCAGGTGCAGTGACTCGTATTGGTAGGTGATCGTAACCCCTGGCGGAATGATGTGTTTTGTTTTCTGCGTCACCTTACATCCGCCTCCAGCTTGACGCAGGCTTCTAGCGGCTTGGAACAGTTGATCACCATCTGTTTCGTCCTCTGTCTCAGTGGCGACGTCTTTCCTGTAATAAGGCTCTCTCGTCCTACAGGTACAGTCTGCATCTCCGTAGTTACAATGCGGGAGCAGGATGTGGTATTGCCTTCATGGCGACACTGAACTGATCCCCATTTGGTCTCTAGAGTAGCCGTCTCCAAGTCAAGCTTCGCTCCTAACAACAGAAGATTATCCATGCCCAAGACTCCATCGCCGCATACATCAGCGATTATGAAAGTGACCCTTGCCTTTCCCTGGCTTATTGTCACTTTGGCCAGCGTCAAGGTGACGAAATTACCGTTAAATACTGGTATTTATAGCCTCTGAGACGCTCTGAGAGCTGCCCTACGCATGGTGCGTCCGTAATCGCGCTCTGAGCCCTTACGCCCCAAAAGCTTACTGCGCCCACTACGTTTTCTGCAAGATAACTTAAATTGTGGCGAACTGGTTCGTTACAATACTATGAATATTGTTAGGTGAACAAATATATATGTTTGGGACGAAGGTTGAGGGAGGGCCTGCACATGACTTGCTTAGCCGTACACTAGTATTTTGTAATATGTAATTTCATTTGGCAACACAAGAGAAGAAGAACAAAAGGGGAATAAAACAAAATAAGAGGAAGGAAAAGAAATGAAAAGAATAGAAAAAAAAGAAAATACAAGAACGGAAAGGAAAGGAAATAAAGAAAACAATCAAAAGAAAGGAAAAGTGACAGTACAATACAGAAAAGAAACACAATTTAAACAAAAAAAGTAAATACATATTGCCTTTAAAGGATGTCAAGGCCCCATCATGAAGCACCCATATTGCTCCGATTGTCTCATTTGCGCTCGCTATATCACTGCAGCACAAACATAGCTCGTTCGACGTCACTACCCAACTAGCCAATCAGCTGTCAATGACGTCATATTGAATGCAGCGGCAAATATATTTTGTGAAATTATCGAGAAATTGACTATTTCTAATTGCAAACTAGTTTTATTTTTGGATGGAAAAGCAGCCATTGTTATCTTGACATTCATTGAAGTAATCAGAATAGGGTAAGTTACTTCTCAGATGATTCAAGAGGTCCATTTTGTAGATAATTTTTTTAATTTCTTAGAATGTTCCACTGTGTTGCAGGGTACCGGGTGTATGCCATTGGGTGTGATGTGTTCGCGCGCTATAAGTACATGCCACCGCGCCGTCGGGTGTATTCTCGTACTGATGTAGGTGCAAAGCTAGAATGGCTACCACGCCCACTTCCCTCTCTATGCCTTTCTTAACATTACTTTCCTTCTCAATACAATAACTTTCACCTGCCTAAGTTATTCAAACCATACCGCCTCGCCACTTCCATTACGTAATCATTAAAAGGATCCGCATATACAACATTTTCCTGCTATACGTTGTACTGCAGGAAAATACAAATCTCCCTGGTATACCTTACAGTCCAAACGATAAATATGTGCCTTTAACGAAGCAGGCGACAATCGACGTAGCAGACGACACTTGATAGTAATTTTGTATGTGAGATTGCTTTGCTAAATATAAATTACTTTGTTAATAAATATCAACTAAAATTTCTTTTACATTTCTTTAAACCATCATTGATATTTAATAATTCATGAGTGAGTAAAAGAAACATACCAAACTATATAATTATATGAAATACTTGGTGGCAATTAGGGGAGTTTGACGTGATGACCGATTGTACCCCTCTGTTAATAACCGAATAGTCCATGGTGTGTCATGAATATTCATGTTTTTGCTTACCTCGGCTAAATGTTTGCTTTTACTAAATTGAAAAATTACGGTGGGGGTTGGATGAAATGGACATAATGAAATAGGCAGAAGTTATCTATGATAATTCATGCTTTTAATGTTTCGTGTGATCGACCTATAATCTTCAAATCGCTTGGCATACTGAGTCCAAAGTTAGACTTGTTTTACATGTGTATTATAGGCAATAACGAGCTTGCAACCTATTTTGAAAAATTACGGTGGGTGAACTTTCAAAAGTCAATGAGACATGAGGGCTCCAATGAAAGAGCTAGTGATAACATACGTCGGGGTGGATGTGCTTTTCGTTTAAACAAACAATGAATTTTTAACGATTTTTTAAAAAAAAAACGTCCATAGGCTAACATGTTAGGCTGCTGACTCTGACCATGCTCTGACGATAGGGGGCGTTGTGAAATGAGACTAAACGGAGCAATATGCTTTAACCGTACCTCAAGTTGTGTAATTAAATCTGTGCGTTACTAGCGATATCTACGTCATACACAGTTTGATAAATGACTTCACATTCTACCGAGTTACAAATAGAATTCCTAATTATGTAGGTTTCCCAAAGCTAACGATTCATATTCATATTTTCGGCTTCTAAATGGGTTCTGTATAATGTAGCCTTGGGAGATATCTAGTACAAAATCTGGGTTTTCATTCAACACGACCCTTGCATTTACGAGATTATGACCATAACAACGCCATTATCGAATTAAAATGTTTCAAATTAATTAAAACACCGCCAAATGAAAACAAAAATAAATGGAAACAGAAAATCATATCATTGCATGTTCCTATTAGATTCTCGTATTTTTGTATTGTTTTCATACACAAATACCGAGATGGAAGTGAATTTAACATTATGGTTTATGCAGCGTTTTTGCGGGTCATTATAGGTTTCATTATCACGGTTAACTTAATTAAATGACCACACGTCCCTCGTGTTTGCAAACCATAGAATAAAAAGCGTTTCAGACGGGCATTTGTTTCTTTGTTTTATTTTCCTTTATTATCCTTTCGTATGCCAAACTGTTCTATCTTTCTGCAATTATATCCGTCTGCATCTTCTTCAGCCATCATAGTAGATTTATAAACACAAACAAGTTTGCTTTTTTTTTAACTCAAAAAAGAAAAAGAAAGATGATGATGGTATAGCCTACAATGTATACACCGTTTAACTTCAAGCTAAAATAACTTTTTTCTACCTCTTTTTATAAAATGATTATAACAATAATTTATGATTTATTCTCGATAAACGAAGTTATATCTTTTTGACTCCTTGGATTGATCAATAAAGTCCTGAAGAGATATTAACTTTATCTATATCAAGAATGAATCATATTCATTCAATTATTGTGTTTTTATATATTTAAGTAAATATTATGTAATTTCTACTTGGTTTCTACTCAAGATTGTGGTCGCTAATTTCTTTTATCATGATTTCATGAGTATTTTAACAATTCTGACTACATAATTATGATCAATTTATTTTGTATGATCAATTTATTTTTGATGTTTTAGTGTAAGCTTTCAAAATTCAGGACCAGGATCATGGGTGTCGATCCCGGGGGGGGGGGGGGGGATGGGGGGATATATCCCCCCCCCCAATATTTCAGGTGGGGGGATGGCCTGTACAATCATCCCCCCAATAATTCACCATCAAAAAAAAATGAAGAGAAAAATTAATGAGAGCCCGATGAGAGTAGTTAATATATACATTTTGCTATCTCATTTTCATAATACATACATATATACGAAGTAAATAAGACAACCGTATATGAGACAAGAATAAATTGAATTCTCGCTCATACGGCTTCATCAGGAATTGATGAATTTATTCAATTTGTTCAACCAACAGCATCATAGAAATGCAGTGTGTCAAATGCAATGCCGCAGCGTCAAAAAGCAACGAGCTAAATGTTAAGTGCGAAGCGCAAAAGTAGCAATCTGCAATGCACATCAGACAATCCTGGACAGTGTAAACGTAGATGAACTCTGTGACGATTTTGTGATGAGATCGGAGACTAGGAGAAAGATTTTCGGACATAAGTATGACTTATAAAATAGTTCACTAGTTGTTATGTTGTTTCCGTTCACCTTTTTTAAAATTCACGTCATTGTATCTTTATTTTTATTTTTTTCACTCATTTTATTTCCTGATATTTCCTAAAACATTTTCATTTTGGAGAAACATTATTATGTCACAACTTATTTGTAACACAACTTATTTTCAGTGGGGAAACTAAATTCAGACAAGGATTAATATAGAAAACAGTACAACGAATCGTCTTCTTTCTCTTATAATTTAGTGAAAAGGGCAAAGCTGTTAGGTGGGCAACTGAATTCAGACTTGGATTAAGAGTAATAATCAAATGAAAGATCAAAGTACACGATACAACTAATCGTCTTCTTTTACTAATAATTTAATGAACCGTGAAAGCTTCCGGGCTACGCGCGGAATGGGCGAAAATGAATACAGACAAGGATTAAGTGCAATAATTTATTGAAACGTTTAAGCTTCTGCGCTTCGCGCGGTAGGGGGGAAACTGAATTCATGAAGGACACGATACAACAAATTGTCTTCTTTCTCTAATAATGTATTAAAATGTGAAAGCTTCCGCGCTTCGCGCAGGAATGAGCAAAAATGAATTTAGACAAGGATTAAGAGTCAAGAATGGTACATAGAATCGTCTTCTTTCTTTAATTATCTAATGAAACGTTGGAGCTTCCGCGCTACGCGCGGGGGAAGGGGAACTTGATTCAAAACAAGGATTAAAGAGTTGAGAATGGTACATCGAATCGTCTTCTTTCTTCAATAATCTCATGAAACGTCAGAGCTTCTGCGCTACGCGCGGAGGAAGGAGAACTTGATTCAAACAAGGATTAAGAGTCGAGAACGGTCCAACGAATCGTCTTCTTTCTCTAATAATTAAGTGAAACATCAAAGCTTCCGCGCTTCGCGGGGGGGGGGGGACTCCCCCTCCCTGCACCCAACCCCCTAGGGACCGCGCTTCGCGTGCTCACTACCGCCTCCCTAAAATGAAATCCTG